GCCGTTGTACGCACCGGCCTTTTTCAGGATCTGTCTATATTCCTTAGATGAAGTACTGTAATTATTTATACTATTTACATTGTTCGGACTGTTGTCCTCAACTTCGTTGCTATATACATGACGTTTCACCTGTTGTACGCTTCGGCCTTCTTCAGGATCTCTCTATATGTTTTAGATGAAGTATTATAATTATTTACACTATTTACCTTGTTTGGATTGTTGTCCTCATCTTCGTTGGCATATCCACGATGTTTCGGCCGTTTTACGCTCGGGCCTTCTTCAGGATGTGTCCATATTTCTGAGATGAAGTATTGTAATTATTTATACTATTTATATTGTTCGCACTGTTCTCCTCATCTTCGTTGCCATATTCGAGACGTTTCAGCCGTTGTACGCTCTGGCCTTCTTCAGGTGATTGGAATTTCGAACTGAACCCTTTATTTCGCCCAACTTGGTGAGTTGGGCTAAGTAGAGATAACTGATACTTAAACATGTAGAACTTGTATAGCTCCACCAGGATAGATTATTTCAATTTTTATATCCTTTGTTTAATATTATCAGCTGGTTATTTCCGAGCCAGTTGGACGCTATGCATGAGATCCGTATGCAACTCTAGATTAGATGAGGCTATTTAAGGACACGATCTTAAATAACCCATAGAGGTGTTGATATGCTGTTAAACAAAACCAAACAACCTACATGAACTTTCATGACATTAATGCATATAATATCTTACGATTTTTTAAAATTAAACTCTATTCCAAAATAACTTAAAAAAAGACAACATAATTAGTCCACACAAATGCCGAAAATATGCAGAAAAGCTGAGTTTTATCTACCATGTAATCAGCTGTGAAAACAGAATAACATAGCATATTTTTATTACTTCACATCTCCCAAGAAGATTAAATTTCAGCTTGAAATGACCCATAGGGAGTTGATATGTCGTTAAACAGATGAAGAAAAACAATAAAAATACGAACAAGAGTCCAGTTCTTAGGCGAATATTTCAGTTTTTGTAGCATTTTGAGGTGCTGCACAAAACTACACCCACGTGCAGACAATTCTATGTTTAATATCTTTATTTCCTATTTTATTAGATCATTATTTTCTGAAACTCATTCGTGTGGCTGTCGCTGTTCGAGGTGTTCAAGTGGTGTGGTTTTCATTATTTGATAAAGATCTTTGCTGGTGATTTTGTATCGCCAGTGTGTAGGGTCAGATGAAGGGTATTCCTCTTTAAGACCTACTGGATTCGTTCTCTTGAAATCTTTTTCAGATATTGATCTACGAAAACGGTTGCATACAGCTGATATCTTATATATTTCTGAGCGAGTTGGGCGTCATTCGTGACATCTATTCGAGCATCGAAATCTGACGTGAAGCTATCTCGGGTACCATCTATTTCTAATTACCTCTCCACCAACAGCTACGATCACCCCAGAGACGCAATCAGTATCATACTCAGACTGCTTGCATATCTCCTGTAAACAAAGTTGTACTCAGCACACGAAACAAATTCACTTTAGCTCAGAAAACAAGTATAAGGTACCCAATGAGGATTGAAGACACTACCCAGTATTAATAGTTAATAAGGAGGAGCTCATTAACCATTACACAACGCGAAAGTGCCAAAGATTGACTAAGTTAATTTGGACCAAATCATTCTCAGTTCCGTAACGGTCTTACGACCACTCTCGATCATGAGCCTGATGGTGAAGATGACGAATTTCAAAATTCTATGCAATCATTCTGTTAGTAATGATTGGATTTGTTCTTGACTTACAGTGCAGTACTGTAATACAGTTATTAATTACAAATGATTTCTATATTAAAACCATTGGCAGTGCATTTACATTATAATCTATTCTATAATTAATGTTTGTTATAAACACATAGTAACTAATAATCTTTTTTACTGAGATAGCATGACACAGTATTGAATACTGAAATTGTTAGTGAGCAATTTCAAAATGCATCCACCCATTGGCATGTCTTGCTTTTTAATCCTGTCTAGCCACCCCTCTCACGAGAAAAGCCTGGTAAGAAATAGGTTTAATCTCCGATGAGCTAACTATGTATGTATGCATCTATTTCGGTGATGAGATGGCATCCCTGGGCGGAGGATTTCTTAGACTGAAATCAGCGACCAGGGTGGCGGTTTACTCTGATGGGACCAACGGCTACATGTTCGGGACCAAAGCGAGCTTTCAGGATGGAGGACACCGGATGTGATTTGACAGTAGCCACATAATTATCCATCCCACAAAATGTCTAATATCGAAAAAGAAAAAAAAAACTAATCTAATTGAATTTCTTTTTTTTTTCAGATTCTCAGATAAGATCATCTTGATACTATTTTTCTTAAGAATCACAGAAAAAACTGTCAGTTATTCAACTAAAATAAGTGAAGTTTAAAACTGTTTTGTTTCTGAGCTACTGTCTTCCCAACTGAACAATGGTGACAGGAAAAAGATTATTCACGCCTTCAGCAATGGTACCAACACTGCCACTTTGACTTCCATCTTCAAACCCCATTCAAGAACCATCAAGAGAACGGTGAATATGTTGAAAAAAGAGGGAACAGTAGAGAGGAAAACTTGATCAGGAAGTCACAACTAAAAGAGGAACCATCATTTCAACTAAGAGCTAAAGAGACTAGTTAGAAAAGATCCAACTCAATCCATATGACGTTTGGCACGTGAGAGAGGAGTTTCAGCTATGACAGTCCTAAGAGCAGTTAAAAAAAACTTGAAAATGAAATCGTACATGAAACCTGTAAGGCACTTTGTTACCCAGGACAGAAAGTTAGAAGGTTAGAAAGGGCGAAAATCATCTTGAATACATTGGATAATGATCCTGGAATAATATATATATATATATATATATATATATATATATATATATATATATAAAGTGAACATTGAAGTCAGAACTTAGAGGCGACAGGCTGTTACATGCTAGACGCAATCATCAGGCCTGACGATTGCGTCTATCATGAAACAGCCTGTCGCCTCTAAGTGCTGACTTCAATGTTCACTTTTATATTTACACACGCTTTATCTGTGATATTGAACACTTTATCTCATAAATATACCACACCTTAAGAGTATATTTCTTTACAATTATATATATATATATATATATATATATATATAGGAACATTATCTGAATACTTCATGATTATTAGCTATTATTAATTAGTGATGAACGTGTTATTTTCGTTTATGATCGATTTCATTACAATTTTCCTGTTAAGCTTAGAGAGTATTTATGGATTATTATTGCTAAAAGTATGGCCCAATAGTTTTATAAAAAACCTTGGTCAGTTCAGTTATGTAACTTTAATCATTTCTATGATACAACGGTTTACAGCTTAATCTAATAATTGGACAAATTTGGTGTTTCACGTTTTGGGCAATTTTGCTGATACACCTGGTCCCTTTCTCTCCTCTCTCTCTCTCTCTCTCTCTCTCTCTCTATATATATATATATATATATATATATATATATATATATATATATATATATATATATATTTTATATAATTATATGTATATATTATATATATATATTATATAATATATATAATTCAAGTGACTATATATTTTGAATGTATTTCATAAATAATTTGTCATTCATTTTATAGTAAAATACTTTCAATGAATTTGCTTTTAGCATTTTGCTACGACGCTCTTTATGTAATCAGTCGAGTCAATAGTTTAAAGGATTTAATAAATAATTCGAATGTATTTCTATGAGAAATAATTTACAGTGGATTTGTATACTATCCATGCAAAGTCATGAAAAGAAATTCGTTGGAAAATATGTAACTATAAAAATGCATCGCAAATGGTTTACCATAGAATTAACTTCAGCATTTCCTGTTTTGTTTCACATATAAAACTTGGACTGAATAAATCGTTCCGCGTATATTTTTAATAAATCTAATCGGAATATTACAGCGCGGAAAAAATTCAGTCCGCCATATATTTACCTTCGATATATTATTCAAAACATTTCTGTGACAAAAATTAAAATTGATTTACTACGAAAAAGAAAAATATCCGATAGAAAAATGGCAAGGTGTAATTAAATTGTAAAGTTTTGCTTATACAGAAAAAAACCCATCGATATATATATATATATATATATATATATATATATATATATATTTATATATATATATATATACGTTTGAAAAAATCCCCTAGAAAAAAAGTTATTTAGAATTTTTTAGGGCCTTCAAGATTTAGTTATATCATTAACGGGCCAGATTTTACACAATTTAAGGAAAAATATTTCAAAATTAGCTTACTTATTTTTAATCGATTCACCCGAAGCAAGGCAACAATGCCACTAAAATGCAAGGGGGTAGTGGTTACAGGGAGTGAAAGTGAATGAAAATAAGAAGATTGAAAAATGGGGAGGATTGAGGAAGGGACAACGGGGTTGGTTCAAGAAAACAGAAGATCGCAATTGACGTTGCATTTAAATTTTTGAAGATGGTAGTTGTCAGGGAGGCAAGAAATCAGAAGGGAGATCAACAGGTGGGAAGTGGCGGTTACGATGAGCTATTTCAATACTAAAACTGGTGAGACCTCGTTGCCAATCTAGTCTTCTTCTTTTATATGCCGTGTCCCTTCAGGACGTAGGCGATCATGGCTCTCCACTTCCTCCTATCCAATATGTTATGTCCTTTTGCTACTTCTCCCAAACTCTGTTCTGTCATCCACGTGTTTAATCCCGCTAGGTATGTTACGCGTTGCTTTCACTTGTCTCTCTGTCCGCGCTGTGAGTATCAGATTCTCCAAGCCCTCCTTTCTCATTTCGTGTGCTAGGAATTTCAGCTGCCTCTTCCTGATATTAAGCCTCCTCCTTGTTTTCATCCTCTCCAAAACCTCATCGTTGTCCACACGATCGGTCCATGATATCCTTAACATCCTTCTGTAGAACCATATCTCCGTTGCCTCGAGTCTCTTCTCCATCTTTGAGGCTAGATCACGTTGATACATCGGGTCTCGTACGATCGCCGAAGTTAAGCAACGTCCAGCTTGGTCAGTACCTGGATGGTTGACCGCTTGCTAATACCAGGTGTTGTAAACTTTGATGTGCAGGTGGTGTAGAAATTCGGATAGAAATCGGAGAGCCGAGTTCTCAATCGGGTTCGTTATATTCCCCCACACACAAATAGGAACAATATGAATCCATCTCTTCTCCCCCACCTATGGGTTAATTTGTGGGACTTGTATCATTAAAATCTTTTATCTCCGAGAAATTCTTACACTCAATAAATAATTTTTGGCGTTAAATAATCTACAAAAGTTTGATAAACCGTAAAAAAAACAACAACAAATGAATCATTGAACCTTGTCGCGCCATTCATCTACTCAAGCTCGCTAGTTAGGTTATGTATTGTTTTGCTCAGTCCTTCAAGTCTTCAGGACGTTGGTGATCATGGCTCTCCACAATTTCCTGTCATTTGTAACTCTTAAAAATGTTGTATTTTTTTATCATTCCTAAAATTCGTTCCAGCTTCCATTTACTCAAGCTCGCTAGGTAGGTTTTGCGTTGTTTTTCTCAGTCCCTTCTTCTATGTGCCCTGTACTTTCAGGACGTTAGCGATCATGGCTCTCCACAATTTCCTGTCTTTTTTAACTCTTAAAAAAATGTATTTTTTTTTTATCTTTCCTAAAATTCGTTCCGGCATCCATTTACTCAAACTCGATTAGTAGGTTATGCGTTGTTTTGCTCAGTCCCTCAAGTCTTCTTTTATGTTCCTGACCCTTCAGGGCGTTAGCGATCATGGCTCTCCACAATTTCCTGTCCTTTGTAAATTTAAAAAAATGTTGTATTTTTTTATCTTTCCTAAAATTTGTTCCGGCATTCATCTACTCAAGCTGGCTTAATAGGTTATGCGTTGTTTTGATCATTCACTCAAGTCTTCTTTTATGTTCCTGTACCTTTAGGACGTTAGCGATTATGGCTCTCCACAATTTCCTGTCCTTTGTAGTTCTAAAAAATGCATTTTTTTTAATCTTTCCTAAAATTCGTTCTGGCTCAATCTCGCCAAGTAGGTTATGCGTTGCTTTGCTCAGTCCCTCAAGTCTTCTTCTCTGTGCCTTGTCTCTTCAGGACGTTGGCGATCATGACTCTCCACAATTTCCTGTCCTTTGTAACTCTTAAAAAAAATGTATTTTTTTATCATTTCTTGAAATTCGTTCCGGCATCCATTTCCACAAGCTCTCTAGGTAGGTTAAGCGTTATTGTATTTCGGGTTATGAGTTTTGGCTAAAGAAATTATGCCCCCCACCGCGTCTCAGAGCTTATGGCCACATCACATTGAAATACCAGCTCCCGTGCGATCATCGAAATTAAGCAACGCCATGCCTAGTCATACCTAGATGGGTGATCGTTTAGGAATACCAGATGCCGTAAGCTTGGGTGTGCGGGTGGTGCAGTGGATAATGATATGAAATTGTTAATCAGAGAGCCGAGTTCCAATTCTCGTTGGGTTCGTCATATTCACTTGCGCACAAATACCATTGGGAAGGGAACGAATCCACCTATTCTCCACACAGCTATGGGTTAAATAGTAAAACTTCTGTCACGAAATCATTATGATGTCAAAGAAATATTTGCTGGTTTTAAATAACCTGAAAAGTGTTGATAAACCGTAAAAAAAACGCATCAAGTAATCAATGTTTGATGCAACAAACATTCTTTTCCGTATACTAGGCGTTATAAAAATTGATTCATCCAGATATTTTCCTTGGAGATAAAGAAGAAAAACTCAAAACGCCAGTTATGTGGCACTACAGACGGATGTTGAGAATACGGTGGACGAAGCACGTGAGCAATGAAGAAGGTCTAAAGAAAATGGATGCTAAAATCACTTCTTCCATGTGACGTGTCCGTTCAAGACGATATTCAGTCACCCCCTCCACGAGGGTGTCATGTGGCACAAGGCCTTTTTAACGTGGGCATTCCGAGCCCGTGGGCTCGGCCAAAAATATGCCCATTGAACCCGTATAAACGGGTTCAGGGCCGGTTTTACCTCCCCGAAGGAGACTCCGCCCTTCGGCGTAGCCTCCTTCTGGTTCCTCCCGTCCGTAGGAAGAGAGTTTAACCGAACAGTCGGTTCAAAAGTGAACGACTGACCCAACGTGTCCCATCAAGACGTTGACAATCATGGCTCTCCACAATTTCCTGTCCTTTATAGCTCTTAATACATATTGTCTTTTTGTTATCTCTTCTAAACCCTGTTCTGCCATCCATTTACTCAAGCTCACTATGTTATGTCGTTTTTTTCCTCCGTCCCTGTTGCCTTCAATCATTGCCGTCTTTTTTACAAATACTTTCATGGTAATTTGCTCCGAGGAGCTGCTTTCGCTGGTTCCCAGACTTCGCGAATTCAAGCGCCCTACGAGGCTGGCATCGCGCTCTCACCCTTCCACTGTTGAAACTGTTAAATATAGCCGTCTCTTCTACTCCAATAACTTCGTGCATCGCACTTCTCGCCTGTGGAACTCCCTTCCCTATTCCTGTTTCCCTGATAGATATAATCTCCAACTATTCAAATGTAATGTCAGTGAAGTCCGTAATGTCTTCAATATCAGAGGTTGGCAGTGAAGATTCGGAGAAAGGAGCGGCTGTTAATTCTTTAAGTCTTCGATATCAGGTTGGCAGTGAAGATAGTTTGGGAGAATAAACAAAATTCCCGACTTTATACACGTCGGATTGAATATTTTGAGCTTTCTGATTGGTTAACCCTTCTCTTGGTGGACTATAAAATGGGTCAGCTCATTTTGGTTGGCTCACTAGTACAAACATGTATCCAAAAAACTGTAACAGATCTATCCACTATCCTTCTCCTCATCCTTTCCTCTATCACTCCTATCTGCACTCGCTCCAAATCCTCTGTAACCCCTTGCGCGCTAGTGGCATCTCACTTTGCTTGAGCTTTTAAAAAAAAACCTAAAAAAAAACCCACTACAAATCAAACAAAAAACTTTGGAAATTTAAATTACTCGAACAAGAAATATTTGTACCTTTTATTGTGTTATATAAATGTTTATTAATTATTGAACCAATGCATTGTTTTTATTATTATTAAATTCTCTTGTTGCTTACTCATTTTGCATTTGTCAATTAAAATACGTAAGGATTTGAACATATCCACATTCAACACCTACATATCTTTGTCTTAGGATGACATAATATGATCATTCATTTCTCCTCGTCACCATCCAACACGACGCGACGCCTTACTGTGTTGTCTTGATAAATATCGATAAACGCAGTGGACATCTTGAAAAGTCAGTTCGATTTAGCGAAAGATCGTTTTAAACGAGACTTGCTCGGGAAAAGACGAGAGCTGAAACGGCTGACGTACCTCATCCGCACCCAGTTGCATCTCTTAGCGCGTTGCTTGCAGCCTGCTTGGTGTACCCAGGTGTTGACCTTTCGCCCGTGTTCTTCCATGCAGGCACCGATTTGGACCTTCGGCTCTGAAGTGGAATTTGGAATCAGATTGCATGAATGCAAACAGCTATTATCTTTTGCTTCCGTTGTGTATGAGACGAGGCAGGCAGGCAACACAAGTGTCTTGTCTGCTCGTCTGCGAAAACTTTCCTCCCGTTGAAGATCAGGCGAGCACAGGCGAGCAATTACCTCCGAGTTAGGGAAGTGTGAAGACAGGGTCTTAGGCATAGACACTTAGCCCCTGATGGCTTCTTAACACTTGATCAACATGTCAGTGATCGGTTTGAGTACAAAACGAAAAATAAGATACGAATTGAGAAATACCAATTGAATTGACTTACATCAACGTGCCAACGTTCTTTCAGCTCTTTCTTTTCTTTCTTTCTTTCTTTCTTTCTTTTCTTTCTATAGAGTCACTATTCTTTCTTTCTTTTTTTTCTTTCTTTTTTCTTTCTTTCTATAGAGTCACTTTATTTTTTTCTTTCTTTCTTTCTTTTCTTTTTTCTTTCTTTCTTTCTTTCTTTCTTTCTTTCTTTCTTTCTTTCTTTCACTTTATTTCTTTCTTTCTTTTCTTTTTTCTTTTTTTTCTTTTATTTCTTTCTTTTTTTCTTTCTTTCTTTCTATAGAGTCACTTTTCTTTCTTTCTTTCTTTCTTTCTTTCTTTCTTTCTATAGAGTCACTTTTCTTTCTTTCTTTCTTTCTTTCTATAGAGTCACTTTTCTTTCTTTCTTTCTTTCTTTCTTTCTTTCTTTCTTTCTTTCTTTCTTTTCTTTCTTTCTTTTTTTCTTTCTTTCTTTTCTTTCTTTTCTTTTTTTTCTTTCTATAGAGTCTTTCTTTTCTTTCTTTCTTTCTTTCTTTCTTTCTTTCTTTTCTTTCTTTTCTTTCTTTCTTTTTTTTTCTTTCTTTCTTTCTTTCTTTCTTTTTCTTTCTATAGAGTCATTTTTCTTTCTTTCTTTCTTTCTTTCTTTCTTTCTATAGAGTCACTTTTCTTTCTTTCTTTCTTTCTTTCTTTCTATAGAGTCACTTTTCTTTCTTTCTTTCTTTCTTTCTTTCTTTCTATAGAGTCACTTTTCTTTCTTTCTTTCTTTCTTTCTATAGAGTCACTTTTCTTTCTTTTTCTTTCTTTCTTTTTTCTTTCTTTCTTTCTTTCTTTTTTTTTATAGAGTAACTTTTCTTTTTCTTTCTTTTCTTTCTCTTTTCTTTCTTTCTTTCTTTCTTTTTCATTCTTTTTTTTCTTTCTTTCTTTCTTTCTTTCTTTCTTTCTTTCTTTCTTCCTTTTTCTTTTTTTTTGTTTATCGTCACTTTTCATTCTTTCTTTCTTTTTTCTTTTCTTTCTTTCTTTCTTTCTATAGAGTCACTTTTCTTTTTCTTTCTTTCTTTCTTTCTTTCTTTCTTTCTTTTTTTTGTTTAGAGTCTTTCTTTTCTTTCTTTCTTTTCTTTGTTTTTTTCTTTCTTTTCTCCTTTTCTTTGTTTCTTTTTTCTTTCTTTCTTTTTCTTTCTTTCTTTCTTTCTTTCTTTCTTTCTTTTTGTCACTTTTCTTTCTTTCCCCCTTTCTTTCTTTTCTTTCTCTCTTTCTTTCTCTCCTTTTTCTTTGTTTCTTTCTATATTATTTCCCTTTCTTTCTTTCTTTCTTTCTTTCTTTCTTTCTTTCTTTCTCTTTCTCTCTAAAGTCCTTTCTTTTTTTCTTTCTTTCTTTCTTTCTTTCTTTCTTTCTTTTTCTTTTTCTTTTTTCGCTCCTTTTTCCTTTTCTTTTTCTTTTCTTTCTTTCTTTCTTTCTTTTCTATATTATTTTTCCCTTTCTTTTCTTTCTTTCTTTTCTTTTTCTTTCTTTCTTTTATTTTCTTTCTTTTCTTTTTCTGATTTTTCTCTTTCTTTTTTTCTTTTTCTTTCTTTTCTTTCTTTCTTTCTTTTTTTCTTTTCTCTTTTATCTTTTTTTCTTTCTTTCTTTTTGTTTTCTTTTTTTTTATTTTTTTCTTTCTTTTCTTTCTTTCTTTCTTTCTTTCTTTCTTTTGTTTAGAGTCCTTTTTCCTTTTTTCTTCTTTTCTTTCTTTTTCTTTCTTTTTTCTTTCTTTCTTTTTTGCTCCCTCTTTTCTTTTTTTTCTTTCTTTCTTATATTATTTCTTTCTTTCTTTCCAGTTTTCTCTCTTTTTTTGTTTTTTCTTTTTTTTTTATTTTATTTTCTTTTCTTTCTTTCTTTCTTTTCCCCTATTTTTCTTTTTCCCCTTGACTTTATTTCTTCTTTTATCTATTTTTCTCTCTTTTTATTTCAATTTTTCTTTCCGTTTCTTTCTTTCTTTCTTTATTTTTTTCTTTCTTTTTCTTTTCTTTTCTTTCTTTCTTTCATTTTTGTTTTTCTTTATTTTTTTTCTTTACATATTTCTTCCCTCTTTCTCCTTTCTTTTTCATTTTCTTTCTTTATTTTCCTTTTGTTTTTTTCTTTCTTTTATTTCTTTTTCTTTCTTTCTTTCTTTTGTTTCCTTTATCATTCTTTTCTTTCTTTGGTTCTCTTTCTTTTTCTTTCCTTTTTCTTTTTTCTTTTTTCTTTTTTTTTTTTTTTTCTGTTTTTCTTTTCTTTTTCTTTCAGATTTTTTTTTCTTTTTTTTTTCCCTTAAATCCATTTTCTTTTTTCTTTTTTCTTTCTTTTTTTCATTTCCTTGTTTTCTTTTTTTTTCTTTTTTTTTTTTCTTTCTTTCTTTCTTTCTTTTTTTTTAATCTGAACATTTTTTCGTTCTTTTTCTTTCTTTCTTTCCTTTCTTTTCTTTTTTTTCTTTTAATCTTTGAACCATTTTCTTGTCGTTTTTGAACTTTTCCCCATTTTCTTTCTTTTTTCTTTCTTATTCTTTTTTCTTAATGGTTCCATTTCCTTGTTACAGTTTTAATTTGAATCTTTTTTCTTTTTTTTCTTTTCTTTCTTTTTTTTTTCTTTCTTTCTTTCTTTCTTTCTTTCTGAACTTTATTTTATTTCCCTTTCTTTTTTCTTTTTTCTTTCTTTCTTTTTTTTCTTTCTTAATCTGAACCATTTCCTTGTTATTTTTTGAACTTTTTTTCTTTTTTTTTTTAACTTTCTTTTGAACCATTTTTTCTTTGCAGTTTTAATCTGAACTTTTCGTTCTTTCTTTTTCTTTCTTTTTTTTCTTTTCTTTTTTTCTTTCTTTCTTTTCTTAATCTGAACCATTTTTCTTTACAGTTTTAATCTGAACTTTTTCGTTCTTTTCTTTCTTTTTCTTTTTTTTTTTTTCTTTCTTTTTTTTCTTTCTTAATTTTCATTTTTTTATTTTTTTAATCTCTTTTTTTTCTTTCTTTCTTTTCTTTCTTTTTTTCTTTCTTTCTTTCTGAACCATTTTTCTTTTTTTTGTTTTTTTCTCTGAACTTTTTTCCCTTTCTTTCTTTCTTTTCTTTCTTTCTTTTTCTTTTCTTTTTAATCTGAACCATTTCTTTCTTTCAGTTTTTTGTTTTTCTTTTTTTCTTTCTTTCTTTTTCTTTCTTTTCTTTCTTTCTTTCTTAATCTGAACCATTTCCTCAGTTTTTCTAGTTTCTTTCCCCTTAATCTTTCTTTCTTTATTTTCTTAATCTGAAATCCTTTTTTTTTAGTTTTAATCTGAACTTTCTTTCTTTTCTCTTTTTCTTTCTTTCTTTCTTTCTCTCTCTTTGTTATGTTTTTCTTTTTCTTTCTTTTTCTTTCTTTCTTTCTTTTTCTTTCTTTTTTCTTAATCTATTAGTTTTCCCTTTCTTTTCTTTCTTTCTTTCTTTCTTTCTTTTTCTTTTCTTTCTTCTTTCTTTCTGAACCATTTTTCTTACAGTTTTAATCTGAACTTTTTCTTTTTTTCTTTCTTTCTTTTCTTTTCTTTTTTCCTTTTCTTTCTTTTCTTTCTAATCTGAACCATTTCTGAACTTTTTCGTTCTTTTCTTTCTTTCTTTTCTTTTTTCCTTTCTTTTCTTTCTTTCTTTTCTTTCTTAATCAGTTTTAATCCTGAACCATTTCCTTGTTACAGTTTTAATCTGAACTTTTTCGTTCTTTTCTTTTCTTTCTTTTTTTCTTTCTTTCTTTCTTTCTTTCTTTCTTAATCTGAACCATTTCCTTGTTACAGTTTTAATCTGAACTTTTTCGTTCTTTTCTTTCTTTCTTTCTTTCTTTCTTTCTTTCTTTCTTTCTTTCTTAATCTGAACCATTTCCTTGTTACAGTTTTAATCTGAACTTTTTCTTTCTTTCTTTCTTTCTTTCTTTCTTTCTTTCTTTCTTTCTTTCTTTCTTAATCTGAACCATTTCCTTGTTACAGTTTTAATCTGAACTTTTTCGTTCTTTTCTTTCTTTCTTTCTTTCTTTCTTTCTTTCTTTCTTGTTACAGTTTTAATTGAACTTTTTCTTTTTCTTTCTTTTTTCTTTTTTCTTTCTTTCTTTCTTTCTTTCTTTCTTAATCTGAACCATTTCCTTGTTACAGTTTTAATCTGAACTTTTTCGTTCTTTTCTTTCTTTCTTTCTTTCTTTCTTTCTTTCTTTCTTTCTTTCTTAATCTGAACCATTTCTTTCTTTTCTTTTTTTAATCTGAACCATTTCCTTCTTTTCAGTTTTTCTTTTCTTTTTTCTTTTTTCTTTTCTTTCTTTCTTTTTTTCTTTCTTTTCTTTTTTCTTTCTTAATCTGAACCATTTCCTTGTTACAGTTTTAATTGAACTTTTTTCTTTCTTTTCTTTCTTTCTTTTTTCTTTTTTCTTTTTTCTTTCTTTCTTTGTTTTCTTTCTTAATCTGAACCATTTCCTTGTTACAGTTTTTAATCTGAACTTTTTTTTTTTCCTTTCTTTCTTTCTTTCTTTCTTTCTTTTTTTCCTTTTTCTTTCTTAATCTGAGACCATTTTCTTGTTACAGTTTTTAATCTGAACTTTTTTCTTTCTTTTCTTTCTTTCTTTTCTTTCTTTCTTTCTTTTCTTTCTTTCTTTTTAATCTGAACCATTTTTTTACAGTTTTAATGAACTTTTTTCTTTGTTCTTTTCCCTTTCTTTTTTTCTTTTCTTTCTTTTCAGTTTTTAATTGAACTTTTTTTTCTTTTCTTTTTCTTTCCTTAATCTGAACCATTTCTTTTACAGTTTTAATCTGAACTTTTTTCTTTTCTTTCTTTTCTTTTCTTTCTTTTTCTTTCTTAATCTGAACCTTTCAGTTTTAATTTTTCTTTTTTCTTTCTTTTTCTTTCTTTCTTTCTTTCTTTCTTTCTTTTCTTTCTTTCTTTCTTAATCTGAACCTTTTCCTTTTCAGTTAATCAATAAGACTTTTCTTTCTTTCTTTTTTGTTTTCTTTCTTTTTTCTTTCTTTCTTAATTTCTTCCTTTCTTTTTTTTTACAGTTTTTAAAGGGACTTTTTTTTCTTTCTTTCTTTCTTCTCTTTTCTTTTTCTTTTTCTTTTTTCTTAATCTAGACCAGTGTCCAGTTTTTTGTTTTTTTTTTTTCTTTTTTCTTTTTCTTTCTTTCTTTTTTGAACCATTTCCTTGTTGTTTTTAATCTGAACTTTTTCGTTCTTTTTTCTTTCTTTTTTTTTCAGTTTCTTTCTTTCTTTTTTCTTTTCTGAACCATTTTTGCAGTTTTAATCTGAACTTTTTCGTTCTTTTCTTTCTTTCTTTCTTTTTTTCTTTCTTTCTTTCTTTCTTTCTTTCTTAATCTGAACCATTTCCTTGTTACAGTTTTAATCTGAACTTTTTCGTTCTTTTCTTTCTTTCTTTTTTTCTTTCTTTCTTTCTTTCTTTCTTTCTTAATCTGAACCATTTCCTTTACAGTTTTTAATCTGAACTTTTCGTTCTTTTCTTTTCTTTTCTTTCTTTCTTTCTTTTTAATCTGAACCATTTTCCTTTTCAGTTTTAATCTGAACTTTTTCTTTCTTCTTTCTTTCTTTCTTTCTTTTCTTTCTTTTTCTTTTCTTAAGACCATTTCTTGTTTTTAATCTGAACTTTTCGTTCTTTTCCTTTCTTCCTCTTTTTTTCTTTCTTTCTTTTTCAATTGAACCATTTTTTTTTAATCTTAAACGTTCTTATATATTTCCTTGTTACAGTTTTAATCTTTTTTTCGTTCTTTTTTTCTTTTATTTATAGTTTCATTTCTTTCTTTCTTAATGAAATTTCCATTTACAGTTTTTTGAACTTTTTTGTTTTTTTCTTTCTTTCTTTCTTTCTTTCTTTCTTTCTTTCTTTCTTAATCTGAACCATTTCCTTGTTACAGTTTTAATCTGAACTTTTTTTTTTCTTTCTTTCTTTCTTTCTTTCTTTCTTTCTTTCTTTCTTTTTTTATTTCAGTTTTAATTAGTTTTCTTTCTTTTACCGTCTTTTCTTTCTGAACCATTTTCTTTTTGTCATTATTTATTTTTTTTCTTTTTTGTTTCTTTCTTTCTTTCTTTTTCTGTCATTTCCTTCTAGTTTTAACGAACTTTCTTTCTTCTTTTTTTCTTTCTTTCTTTCTTTCTTTCTTTCTTTTTTCACAATTCTTTCCAATCGTTCTTTACAGTTTTTTAATCTGAACTTTTTCGTTCTTTTTTATTTTCTTTTCCTTTTCTTTCTTTTTTTTTTTCTTTCAGGTTAAATCCTTGTTACAGTTTCCTTCAACTTTTTTTATCTGAACCATTTCCTTGTTACAGTTTTTCCAGACTTGAACTTTTTTCCCTTTTCTTTCTTTTTTTCTTTTTTTTAATATTTTTCTTTTTTCTTTCTTTTTTAATCTGAACCACTTTTCTTTCTTTTTTTCTTTTTTCTTTCTTTTCTTTCTTTCTTTCTTTCTTTTTCTTTCTTAATCTGAACGTTTTCCTTGTTTTTTAACAACTTTTTTTCGTTCTTTTCTTTCTTTCTTTTTCTTTCTTTTCTTTCTTTCTTTCTTTTTAATCTGAACATTTCCTTTTGTCTTTTCGTTTTTCTTTCTTTCTTTTTTCTTTCTTTTTTCTTTTTCTTTCTTTTTCTTAATCTGAACCATTTCCTTGTTACAGTTTTTAATCTGAACTTTTTTCTTTTTTTTCTTTCTTTTCTTTTTTTTTTTCATTTTTTTCAGTTTTAATCTGAATTTTTTCGTTGAACCATTTTTTTACAGTTTTTTCTTTTTTTCTTAATTTGAACTTTCTTTTTTCTTTTCTTTCTTTCTTTCTTAATCTGAACATTTTCAATTTTACAATGTTTAATTTGAAATTTTTCTTTCTTTCTTTTTTCTCGCATGCGTCTTTTCCTTCTTTCTTTTTTCTTTCTTTCTTAATCTGAACCCCTTCCTCATTCTTTCTTTAAATTTGTCTTTTCCATTTCCTTCCTCTTTTTAATTTGAACTTTTTCTTTAGGTTTTTCTTTCTTTTTCTTTTCTTTCTTTTTCTTTCTTTTTAATCTTTTTTTTTTTTTCTATCTTTCTCTCTTTTTTTATTAATCTTTATCTTTTTCTTAGAATTTTTTTCTTTTTTTTTTGAAATTATTTAATCTCTCCGTTTTTCTTTTAGTTTTTCTTTCTTTCATTTTCTTTCATTCTTTCTTTTATCATTTCTAATCTGTTTTTTTTTTTTTAGCTTTCTTCTTCTTCGTCTTCTCCTTCGTCTTTCCCTCACTCACACTTCTTCCTTCCTCTTGATGTTATTCCTTTTCACTCGTTCATACATTTCTCTTTTTCCTTTCATTCCTGCTTCATTCACTGACGAACACCGCCGTACATCATTCAAGGTAGCACCTGTTTTCTAATCTTCGGTTTCTCGTGCCGATTAGGAAAAGCATCGCTTAAAGCCGTATTAAATAGACTGGTCAAAGAACTGGGTTACTGTAAAATGGTCGAGGGCTTCAACTTAGAATCGCAGTCTGCTTTCATTAAAGTCTTTATTTCGCGTCAACAGCAGCGATGCTGCTCTTTTGAACCCCCGAATTTACCCCCGTCAGTCAACTTTCCACATTCGTCCGCCTGATGAGACGTTCCGTGTCCGAATGAAGATATTAAGTTTGTGTCTATATTCGCGTGCAAAATGTGGGAAGTAATATGTTCTTAACAATAATCGCCTTTGCCCGAGGGAGTTAGGACTTCAGCGTAATGAGGCGGTAGTAATGGAGAGTCGTAACCGACAGAATTCAGACAGTGCGCGTTTTGCAACCCGATCGTAAGTTTTAAATCGCAAAACTTTAAAAGACAGCAACCTTTAACACGTGGAATGTCTACAGAAGCGGGAAATGGAGTCTGAATGAATAATGGTAAGCTGTCCAGACAGGCGCTTGCGTTGATAATATTTCTACAGAAAGTGCTTGATTGATACATTAGAACTAGGACAGTCGAATACTTATATGGTGATATGTAGATGTAAAAGAAAACGTTTACTCGAATGTAGATTATATATATATTTATTTATATATATATATATATATATATATATATATATATATATATATATATATATATAATATTTTTGTTTAAATGATTCCTTCGCTACATAAGAGTTCTCATGTTTCAAAAACGAGAGCCGAAACTATCCAAATAATTATTAAAATTAAGTTGAATTGAGGTGTTTAGTCCCGTTTCATCTTCAAGCGAATTTTTAGGAATAAGCTATCTCTCGGTTTACGTGTGTTTTTAGGCACGGTCCGTTACAAAATTCGTTATTGTGGGAGTGACTAGACTATTTTCTTCGTTAAGTGGTCAGAGAGTTAATACTTATCAATAGATTCATCATCTTCTGAGAGGTTTTACTAAGGTTGGGTAGGGTATCTATTTAAAGGCTTATGTTTGCGCTCACCCTTTAGTTAGTTCCCAGTGAGGGATATTTTTATGGCGCACCTACAATCGTTATGTGTCTGGAGAATTGTCATTTATTATTGTCCATCTGATTATCTATTTATTTATTTGTTTATTCAAGTGGGTGTTTTATATACAAATCGTATTGCAGTGAATTTCAGTTTGCTTTTTTTTTTGTTTTTTTGACGACTACAGAAAGGGTTTTTCCTATTTAATGATTTGGCTAAGCTTTTAAGACTTTTATTTAGCGATGGAATTTTTATTTTTTTTTATTTTTTATAATTATTTAATGCGAAATTTTGTTGATGTCGGCAAAAAACCGTTAACTCCTGCCTATGGTTTAATAATTTTTCATTATTTAGAAATATAATGATCTGTAGTTTTTCGTGTAGGCATAAAGGGCATGGGTCATCCCAAGTTTTACAAGTTCTTGTTTTATTTACTATTTTCCATTTTACTTTTTATTCGTTTATATATATATATATATATATATATATATATATATATATATATATATATATATATATATATATATATATATATATCTGTTAAAATTCAGCTTCAGTGGTAGAGTCTGAGGCTTAGTGGTAGAGTCTCCGACTGACGCCAATTCAGTCGGGTTTCGATCCTAGCTAGAAGCGACCGGACGTCTAGCCACACTGAAGAGCTGTGACATTATATAGACGCCTGAAAAATTAATTTCGGCTGAGCTCTCTGGGGAGGAAGTGTAGGTTTATAAATAGTGACTATTATGGCTGATATAGCGAGTCTCTTCGGCAAATTTGCGAATTGAGTCCTGTCGGTCACTGTGTGTTTATCTAAAATAAATACGCTAAAATTCACCTTCATCAGTCGGGTTCCGATCCTAGCTAGAAGCAACCGGACGTCTAGTCACACTGAAGAGCTGTGAAACAGCGAAACAGTCTGTCTGTGGATGACATTATATATATATATATATATATATATATATATATATATATATATATATATATATATATGGGGAAAATCTGTGGGCACGTAATCCAAGTGAATCCTAATAATATAAAATATTAAAACTGATCCTCAAAAGAGAGCTCACTATATTTATTATAGAGCATAGAAATGAATTACATAAAAAATAAAACTCAGTTGAACCCCATTTATATGGCTATAAAAAACGTTTTAGTATTGACAAAACTTTAAGTATTGACAAGCTCCAGGAAGTTCTTCGAAGAGAGAAATCTCTCGAGGGCGAAATGACCATATAAAAAGGAGTACAATTGAGTTTCATCTTATGTAATTCATATATATATATATATATATATATATATATATATATATATATATATATATATATATATATATTGCTATTTTTATTTATTTTCTTTAAACAGTGTTTTGTTGAATGCTCATATTCGAATGGAAGCACTATTATTTAATTAAACTTTCTTTTTTTATCTGGCTACATCTACCGGCCTGTGTATTAAAAATGCTGTATATTTAAAAAACAGAACTTCTACTCTAATATAAGTTTCCATAAAAAATAACGCTTAAACAAAATAAATATAAAAATATGTCGGATCGAATCCATTTTCATCATATATATATATATATATATATATATATATATATATATATAAGTAATACAAATCTTGGTTATAATTTATTTCACCAGAGAGGTTATTTTTCTGAAACATCAGACCTCACTTCCAAGGATGAAAAAATGGATTTAAATTTACACTTTTGAGGAGCAGTATTAAGATCATGTGAGGTGATATAAAGAGTGCCGAGAGATAAAGTGTAATTTCGACCATGTCTGTCACACTATCTATCTATCTATCTATATATATATATATATATATATATATATATATAAATATATATATATATATATCGTATATACCACATTGTGTTAGTTATCTATCTATCTAAAAGTTGCTCATTATCTATCTATCTATCTATCTATCTCAAACTATTAAGTTTTTCTCTCACTTTCTCTCACTTTATGTATCGATATATATATATATATATATATATATATATATATATATATATATATATTTATATATCAAGTATAGGAATGGTGTATACGGAATATATATATATATATATATATATATATATATATATATATTATATATATATATATATATATATATATATTCCGTATATATATATATATATATATATATATATATATATATATATATATATATATACAGTGTCCCATGAAAAGGTAAACTGATAATTCACTCAATTTTCACTTATTTTCAGATGTAACGCATAAGAAATGATGGTGGCAGCCAGGCTAAGCTTTGAACAAAATAAATTTACACTAAATTTCGACTGGAGCCATGGAAATGCAAAAGCAAGAGCAAAATTGGTGATAAGAACTTTTCAGAATGTTCACAAAAATGTTCCGGAAGGCCGTAGACATCGACGAGCCACATAGAGCAACGAAAGGGCCCTAGAAAATCATCACCAGAGTACAAGACTTTATAAACGGCAAGCGTGTCTGGAGATACTAAATTTTAAAATCTAGTGTGTCACAATGGGCGATGCAGATTCAGAAGGACGTGTACCTCCGCGTTTCATAGACTACACAAAGGCCTTCGACAAAGTACGCCACAAGGATCTGATGGAACTTGATATATTCGGGAAATATATTCTGAAAAATCTAGCAACAATACTGGCAACAAACAGCATGCATACGCATGGGGAACGAGTTCAGTGAATATACGAAAAGAGAAAGGGGCGTAAGGCAAGGATGCGTCTTCTCACCGGACCTGTTCAATTTATGCAGCGAGGCAACTCTGAGCGAACTGAAAACCCTACCGAGATTTATCATTGGTGTCCACAATCTTAACAACATAAGATACGCAGATGACACAGTACTGATAGCAGACACGGAAAAGAAATGACAAAATCTCCTACAGAAGGTAGCAACGGAGAGTGAGAAGAAATGACTAAGCATAAACTACAAGAAGACAGAATGCATGCTCATCAGTAAGAGGAAGAACCCGAAATGCGATTTGAAGGTCGGGAACACTAGAATCAAGCAGACGCAGAAGTTTAAATATCTGGGAAGCGTCTTGACAGAGGACAGTAAGTGCGATACTGAGACGCGTAGACGTATTGGGATGGCCAAGGACACATTCCAAAAGCTGGGTAGAGTCTTCCGAGACAGGAGGATTTCTTTGGTAACAAAGAAAAAATAAAGAACTGCTACGTGACATCTGTTCTTCTTAGTAGGTGTTATTACATGTTATTAAACCGGTCCGATTCTTCTTCTGGGCAGAGAGGCTGGCTAGAGGTTCACGAATATTTGTCTCCGTCAGTTCCTCTGTGGATAATCCTTACCTCTGTCAGGTAACCTTGTCATATTTGGGAAGGATATTAGGATAATAACCTTGTCATATTTGGGAAGGATATTAGGATAATAACCTTGTCATATTTGGGAAGGATATTAGGATAATAACCTTGTCATATTTGGGAAGGATATTAGAATAATAACCTTGTCACATCTGGGAAGGATATTAGGATAATAATCTTCTCATATTTGGGAAGGTTATTAGGATAATAATCTTGTCATATCTGGGAAGGATATTAGGATAATAATCTTGTCATATTCGGGAAGGATATTAGGATAATAATCTTGTCATATCTGGGAAGGATATTAGGATAATAACTTTATCATATTTGGGAAGAATATTAGGATAATAACTTTGTCATATTCGGGAAGGATGTTAGGATAATAATTTTGTCATATATGGGAAGGATATTAGGATAATAATCTTGTCATATCTGGGAAGGATATTAGAATAATAATCTTGTCATATTTGGGAAGGATATTAGAATAATAACCTTGTCACATCTGGGAAGGATATTAGGATAATAATCTTCTCATATTTGGGAAGGTTATTAGGATAATAATCTTGTCATATCTGGGAAGGATATTAGGATAATAATCTTGTCATATTCGGGAAGGATATTAGGATAATAACCTTGTCATATTTGGGAAGGATATTAGGATAATAATCTTCTCATATTTGGGATGGTTATTAGGATAATAATCTTGTCATATCTGGGAAGGATATTAGGATAATAACTTTGTCATATCTGGAAAGGATATTAGGATAATAAACTTGTCATATTTAGGAAGGATATTAGGATAATAATCTTGTCATATCTGGGAAGGATATTAGGACAATAACTATGTCATATTTGGGAAGGATATTAAACTTATAATCTTGTCATATCTGGGAAGGATATTAGGATAATAATCTTGACATATTCGGGAAGGATATTAGGATAATAATCTTGTCATATCTGGGAAGGATATTATGATAATCCAGCATCTATACTGGAACCGACCCGTCTGCATACCTATAGAAAAATGTATTTGAATATGTTACATTTGAATAAAGTGACGCTGCCGACACTTGACTTTGAACATAGATCGCCGGAGAGTAATCACAGGCGATCCTCTTATTGAATTAAGTTCACCACGTGACCATAGAGGAAACACATATGTAGGAAATAGCTGACGACTGATGATCGCTATTTCTAGTCTATCCTCTATTACTATATGGACCGCTATTCTCTACTCTATTCACTATACTATTTCTCTAATCAGATCACTATTTCGTAATGACTATTATTCGTAATGATAATAGCGAGTATTATCGAGCAAGTACTATTAGTGCGAGTGTTATTCGAAGGTATCTGACACTAGTATTGTTCAACGGCGTTACTATAGTTGTATCTGCGATTACAAAGTCTCTACTACTACGAGTGTTGTGAAAGTGACAATGAGTTGTGGCATCACAAAAGTGGCAACGAGTGTTCGTTGACATCACAAAAGAATATAGACAAAGAATGGAAAGTGGGTGTAAGACAAGGGTATGTCTTCTCACCGGATTTATTAAACCAGTACAGTGAGGCAATCCTGAGAGAATTAAAAGCCCGATCTGAAGGAATATTGGCCACAACTTTAACAACATAAGATATGCAGATGACATAGTGTTGATAGCAGCCACGGAAAGGAAGCTACAAGAACTTTTTCAGAAGGTAGTGAAGGAAAGCGAGAAGAAAAGACCTCGAGATGTTCTTAAAAGTTGGAATTTCTAGGACAAATAATGAGGAAAGTGGGCTTGGAGAATCTGACACCCACGGAAAATAATGAAGGCATGACAGAAAAACTCAACGAATAACATACCTCCAAAGGGTGTAAATATATAACGCAACAGGGGTTGGAAGGGATAACGAAAAGACAAAAGCTTATTAAAAGCTACAAATGAAAGGAAGCTGTGGTGAGCTGT